CCCCAAAACCCCAAAACCCCAAAACCCCAAAACCCCAAAACCCCGGAATAGATCAACACTGTTGATATCATAATATAATTACAATAACTTAACCCTCTCAATATATTAAGGAATGACTGACTAACAAACACTGATAAGCCTGGGAGGGTCTAACTTGAACTAAGTTATCAGCCTGTAGAGGAGTTCTGCACTACTTCATCTCCTCCTCTCTCTCCCTAAAATCTATCTCTGGGCGGACAGTCCACTGCCTTGTGGGGATGGCCCTCCAAAGTTTCTCCTGGCCGTGGCAGTTTGCTGCAAATGCAGGCTAGCTTGGTCTGGTGAAGAAGTTGGCTGGGAGCTAGGCTTAAGGCAGGGGATAAAGTATTTCTGACAAAATCTTAGACGATCATATACAGTCAACTTTTGGTAATCTGAGGGCTCATTACATATTCAAACATAATAGGGTTCCAGCCTCAGATAATAATTTGTTCCATAATAGCAAAAGCATTTAGAATTGTTGATTTGCAATAGAAAACTGACTTTCAAAGGAAAGTTATTTTTGAAAATACTTCAGATAAGATTTTTAAAGGATTCTGACAATACAGAGAAGAAAGATCTGAAAGTGATATAAAAGAAGGAGATAAGTTAACCAGAGTATTTAAGAATTTTGTAAAGATCACTATCCATGTCTCACTAATAATAATTATCATTACTTAAAAAATATTACTCATCTAGGATTCTTCAGAAGCCTTTAATGCTGAAATCATTCAAGAATCTGAACTTCTAATGATTTACAAATTAAAAATTCACAAGTCCCTATTTCCTGAGTGCAAACATATACCTTGATTGCCTCAAAAATCGGTAGCTTTTTATTAGTTATAGCTTAATTGGCAGCCCACTGCTGGCCACAGGTGATTTCAGAAAAAAGTAATGAACCTCTGATACTTGGTAAACTTACTGTAACATGAGTAAATCAGTTTCAAATTTCACTAATTCTTCAAGCTTTAGGAAAATACAAATGGCCAGACTTTGCTGACTCATACTTCATCAATTCAGGAAGAGACAGACTCTATGTGGTTATTTCTCATCAGTTTGGGAGGCCAACATTTTGACAACTTGGCAATCAGTACGACTTCTTGGCCAAAGGGCTTACTTATTATAAATTCTACAAATCTTGGTGAGACTGGCAAACAGTTGCTAAATTGATAACGAAGGCTTTATTTAACCCACTCTCTCATGAGCCACTCACTCTAGGTTAGAGGTATCCTCGCTATGTTGCTTCTTTAATCTTGAATAGTACAAAGGAGAAGAACCAAAGTGCTTACCTCAAAGCTTTAGGAAGCTACCCAAAAAATTTAAATTTCGCAAAATTTTATTTTGGTTTATGCTTCCAAATTATTTAAGAACTTTTCATGAAATAATTAATCAATTTTTTTGAGATGCAACACAATGTTGAGTCATTTCTTCTCAAAATCTTCTTTCAAGAGGATTATAGCAGGCCCTAGGAGACGTATAAATGCTTCATTAAGAGATGTCACTCTTAAGCTCCAGCCACTCATTAATTTTCTAACAAAATTTTCAAAACAGTCCTCAATAATTTTTTACTTTTTGTTTTATTTTCATAAATGTGAGTAAATTTCTCTAGAAATCTTAATAATTCAGGCCAAACTTTCTTTGGCTTTTCAGCCAATAATTTTTAGCCAAAGCTCCCTATATCTCCAGTTAGAAGTCTTTGTCAAAATTTTATGAAATCTTCAAGTGCCAGATGAAGGTAGTAAAATACTGATTTTAGAATAAACTTCAGGATTTTGAACTTCTATATGCCTCAATTGGAAGCAATGAAGTAGGAAAATAGTCTACAAGTGTGGGAGACCCTGTGGAACCAGTAGGGCTACATGCACATCTAGGCTTCCTCCACCATTTTGAAGACTTTCGAATGGTCTGAACTTATGAAATGTCGAGGGAGTAACTTCATTTAGTCGCTCCTTTTAATTTACTGTTGAACAGAGTCTTATCAATCGAGCCAAGCTTTCTTGGCAAGTGAGGATGTTTAGGCTGCTTTTTATTGAAATAAACACTGATAGAGACCGACCCAACCTTAACATGAAAGTATACCCAAATCTCGGAAAAGTCTGAAATATTTTTAGAAATATTTAGAATTAATTAATACGTTGCCTCTAGCTTGAGCTTACTAAAACTAGGCTCTAAGGTTCTTCAGGATGTCACTCGAAGGGATCCTCCTCAGCTGTGTTGGCTGCATCCTGGATGAAGAGAATGAGGGAGTTCAACCATAATTTTGGGATTTCGATTTTGGGTGTCTAGGATGGCTGAGTTTGAACAGGGATTTAGACAGACAAGGAGCAGGGAATCTTAAGCCCTCTTTTACATATAATCTTTTGGAATTATAAGCATGTTCCTTTACTATTTCAAAGTCAGCTTTATTGGCTTTTCCTTTATTGCTCTTCAGAGTATTTCAAAACTGCTTGGTAGTTTTAGGAATCTGTGGAGAGCACTCATCTTCAGATAAAAGCTGGTCTTCGCCAGCCCAGATGTCTTGTTTAGAGGAAAATGATTTCATACTCTCGAGAAATATTATTTATTATTAGTAAGCTTTCTAGTTATTATTTATATACCGGGGTTTTGGGGTTTTGGGGTTTTGGGGTTTTGGGGTTTTGGGG